GGAAAAGGGATAGAACTGGAGCTCAACATATAAAACAATATGTCAGAATCCCAAAGATAAATGTCACGTGCTTTTTGTCATATGTGGAATAGAAAAAATGGTTTTATGAAAGTAGAGTGAAGGAGTTGCACAATTATTCTGAAAAATATGTACAACCTATAAAAATGCACTTCGAGTACATATATGTGTATGTCTCTGTGTGGGGTTGTGCATGTAAGTGCAGTGTCTATGGAGGCCATAAGAAGGTGTCAGACCTGAAGAGCTGTAGTTACAGGTGGTTGTGAGCTCTGCAATGTGGATGCTGGGAGCAGAGTTCAAGTCCTCTGCAAGGGAAGAACCAGCTTGTACCTGGTCTTAACCTCTCTTAACTATTGAACACTCTCTCCAGCCCCCATGAATGCACCTTGAATGGAAATATAAAACCAAAACCCCACTCTGTGGTTGAGGATGTAAGAAACAAGGGTCCTGATACATTGCTGTTGGGAATTGCTTAATTCTCACAGAGAAATTTAGTTTAAATTCACTTATGGTTTACTTCTTATTCAAAAAATTCCAATTTGAGGACTTCATCCGAATGCTAGAGACCGTTGTTAAACATTACGGAATTTTGAAACATTCTGTCTATTCTTTGAAAATTTCATACATGTATAAAATGCATTTTGAGCATATTCACTGTCCAGCTTTTCCTGAATATCCCTCTAACCAAGTATCTCCCAAGCTCATGTCCCTTTCTTTCTTTTTTTTATAATCCTCTGAGTCTAATTAGTGCTGCACATATGAGCATGGACTTAAGTCTTTAAAGTTTACTTTATAATGTGCACATGCACAATTTTAGACATTAGTGTACTGTTCTAATTGTTGAAGAAATTTTTCTCCTAGAAACTGACCTCTAAGAGAAGGATAATATTTCCTTACAAAAAAAAAAAAACAAAACTATGCAGCTGTAGGCAAGATTGAAATCCCTCCAAGCACTTTTATGTGATGAATTGTTAAAGAAATAAGGCAGATGAAGTGGGGCATTTGTAGAATAACATACTCAGATTAGAGTTAATTGGTCTATGACGGGTTATCTTTTCACATCTAAAATGATCAATTTTTATAGCCACTTGAAATATTCTTTATTTTCTCTGATTTTAAATCCAGAACTGTGTAACTATAATTTCAAAAGATAGACATGTGATATAAATCAAGCACAATTCTGGAACTAATTTTCTAGAGTCATAGCTTTAAAAAGTAAAAGTTTGTGCATATATTTGTATTTCCATAAAAAG